CCCGTAGTCATCCCTGTTTGATAGGTTACTCGTTTTGATTGCTTTCTTATTTCGTTTTCCATAGATTCTACATATTTCCACCATCACTTGCTTGCTTGCTTTGATCTCTTTTCGATTTAGATTTGGATTTAGCAACCGGTCCTTGTGTTCGACCCCATGTTGCGACGATCCGTATCCTTGCGGTGAGTTGTGAATCGGGTTATATATTTTAGACTGGATACACACGTATCACTTAGCATATACCCATACACGCGAATACGGTCCCGACATCCACGGTCATCTTAGATTGCTAGTTTACTCGTTTTTATTGTTTTGCTTCCTTGTTTTCCATTCATTCCATATACTTCCATCATCATACTCACTTACTTGCTTTGATTTAGTCTCGATTAGGATTTAGATTTAGCAACCGATCCTCGTGTTCGACCCCGTGTTACGACGATCCGTATCCTTGCGGTGAGTTATGAATCGGGTTATAGATTTTAGACTCGGTACACACGTATCAAGTACTTCATTACTTTTATTGATGATTGTACTCGATATTGTTATCTCTACTTAATGAGAAATAAAGATGAGGCAATAGAGATGTTTAATCTCTATAAAAACAAAAATGAAAATCAACTTGGAAAGAAAGTCAAAGCTTTGAGAAGCGATATAGGAGGTGAATATGAGTCGCCTTTTGCGCAATTGTGCGCAGATCATGGCATCATCCATCAAACTACAGCTCCTTATACGCCAGAACAGAATGGGCATTGCTGAACGCAAAAATAGAACGCTGAAAGAAATGATGAATGCTATGTTAATAAGTTCAAGATCTCCTCAGAACTTGTGGGGGGAAGCGGTGATTTCTGCTAACTTTGTATTAAACAGAGTGTCCAATAAAAGGCTCGACAAAACACCCTACGAGTTGTGGAAAGACAAATCACCTAGCTACAAATACTTGAGAGTATGAGGTTGTCTGGCTAAAGTTCCTATCTCTATTCCTAAACGAACTAGGTTAGGACAAAAAACAATAGACTGTGTGTTTATTGGTTATGCACACAATTGGAGTTCTTACCGATTCTCGGTGTATAAATCAGGTAATTCTGAAATACATGCGAATACAGTCGTTGAATCAAGAGACGCTTCGTTTTTTGATGATGTATTTCCATACAAGACTCAGATAGAATTAGATCCAAGTGGTATGGAATCTCAAAGATTTCATGAATCTTCTAAGCAATTAGAGGAAGAGGGTGAAGAGACCGACTTCTTTTAGTTCTGATTATCTAACGTTTATATTGGATAAAGAACCACAGACATATCAAGAGGCTATGTCATCACCCGAAGATCCTTATTGGAAGGAAGCAGTGAAGAGTGAGATTGAATCAATCAGATAAAATCACACTTGGGAATTTGTGGATCTTCCACAAGGATGCAAACCATTGGGTTATAAATGGGTCTTCAAAAGAAAGATGAAACCCGATGGTTCTATTGAAAAATACAAGGCGAGACTTGTAGTCAAAGGCTATAGGCAAACTGAGGGTGTCGATTACTTCGATGTTTACTCTCCATAAGCCTTATTATAGCCTTGGTAGCCTTGCATTTCTAAATGGTGAACTAGAAGAAGAAGTATACATGCTTCAACCTGAAAGGTGCAGAGTGCACGGACAAGAGGAAAATGTGTGTAAACTTATGAAATCCTTGTATGGACTTAAACAAGCTCCGAAACAATGGCATGCGAAGTTTGATAGCGTAATGTTGTCAAATGGATTTCCAGTCAACGAGGTTGACAAGTGCATATATGTCAAAGGTAACGAGACATAATTTGTGATTATCTGTCTTTACGTAGATGATATGATCATCACTGGTAGTAGTGATAAAGTGATTAAAGCTACGAAAACCATGTTATCAAATTACTTTGACATGAAAGACTTGGGAATAGCAGATGTAATATTTGGTATAAGAATTATCAAGACACAAGACGGTTACGCGTTATCCCAAAGTCACTATATAAAACAAATCTTAGGGAGATTTGACAAAGATGGAAATTCAGGGGTCAGAACTCCAATTGATGTTAATTCTCATTTGAAAAAACATCATGGTGAGGGAGTTCAACAATTAGAATATTCCAGAATCATAGGAAGCTTAATCCATCTTATGAATAGCACAAGGTCGGATATTGCTAATACCGTGAATAGGCTTAGCAGATATACGAGCAATTTAAGTTGTGATCATTGAAAGGCCATAATTAGACTCCTTAGATATCTAAGGTATACTGAGAATTATGGACTGCACTATACAAGATATCCAGCAGTATTAGAAGGATATTTGATGCGAACTGGATCTTAGATTTGAATGAGAATAAATCCACAAGTGGATATATATTCGTTGTTGGTGGAGGTGCTATTTCGTGGAAATCCTCTAAGCACACGTGTATTACAAGATCCACTATGGAATCTGAATTCATAGCTTTAGACCTTGTTGGTGAAGAAGGTGAGTGGCTTCGAAACTTTCTTGAGAATATTCCTATATGGCCTAAACCGGTGTCTGGAATTTGCATACATTGCAATAGTCAGTCTGCAATAGGAAGGGCAAAAAGCCATGTTTATAAGGGAAAGTCGCGACACATCTGCAGACGACACAACTCCGTTAGAAAATTACTAACAGATGGTGTCATATCTATTGATTTTGTGAGATCAAAAGATAATTTGGCTGATTCTCTGACCAAAGGTCTTAACAGAGATCAGGTAGAAATATTATCGAGGGGAATGGGATTAAAACCCATAGAATGACAAACCACCATTATGGCAACCCAACCTATCTGGACAAACCACCAGTGTTAGATTCAATGGGACAACCGAATTGTGGGGGGGTCGATGGAATCATTCGAGACTGATGTCTCTTCACATTCCTATGATAAGAGTGATACAAATTGCGAATGTTGAGTTTATGCTCTTAAAGATTCTCTTATCTCCTACGAGAGTGGAGTATATTGAGATACTCTCAAAGAGAAATCTCCTATAACAAGTATGAAGTGGGCCGCTTCTATGAGAATGACAAAAGGGCTAATTCTCTGGAGTACTTGATGAAATCTACCAGGTGCTGTCCCAGGGCCATAATGGGCGCAACAAATGGACTAACAAGAGAGAGAGAGAGAGAGAGAGTGTTGCGTGAGTAATGTTCTCTTGGAGTATACAATCGCATTCACTGTTTAGCAAGTATATCCGATAGTATTTCACTACGGAAGGTTCAAAGGTAAAACTACCTTTCCGGATACAGTAAACTCTCTATGAGTGAATTTTGCATTGCACATCATTTGCAATAGTTGCATGAGATACATTTAGGTTCACCTAACTCAAGACCCTATTTTGATTCTTGTGGAGAATTGTTGGATTTGTGTTTATTTGATAGAATCAAAACGGGTCTAGCCCGTGAGAAGCTCGGTCTGTGGAATGTTCTAGAAACTTTAATAAAAATCTACAGAATATTGAAAGAATATTCTTGATTGATTTTGAAATTCAAATTAGATTCAAATCTGCAGAAAATCTATCAAATATGATTGAGATAATATCAAAATAAAATCTAATTTGAATTTGAAATTCAAATTAGATTTTATTTTGAGATTCTCCCCTCTACTATAAATAGGGATCTTGGGTTAGCTCATTAATCACTGGAAAAAAAACAAGCATTCTATATAAAAAAAAGAGCATTCACATATTTGTTCATATCTCTCTGAGTTCGCTTAGTATTTGGAAAGCTTCTTCCAAATACGCGGTCATTGTATCCTGGGAGTTCATCATGCTCTAATAGCCTCGAAGTTTTAGAGGTGGTGCGGAAATCGAACTTAAGAAAACTGTGTTTCACATGCCTCGACAAAATAATCTTTTAATTTCAGGTACTTATCTGAAATCGTTCGAATTGCCGGAGTTTTGCCGTCGTCAACAACTGTCGTCCCCAATAATTACTTGATTCAAAGCCTACCAAATTAATGCAAAGAAACGTGAAAGAAGCATGTGCAAGTTACATGGAAGAAAAATGAATTATCAATAAGTTTTTGGAGTAGTTTTTAATAATGTGCGGTTAAGATTTGTTTTGTCACCCAACTTGGGTAGCTCAATCGGTGAAACGGGAAAGCAAAGCGTCTGTCCCTGAGTTCGAGTATCAAGTTGGAGAGGAGAAACAATATTCTAATCAGATGGCTTATTCTCAGTTCCGGGATTAGTTTGGACCTTGTCCCAGGACACCCGGTTACCAAAAGAAAAAGGATTTGCTTTGTCTTTGGTAACCGATGTCCGTTACTCAATATTGTGTTAGAAATATGTGTTGAGTTGTAAGTTTTTTGAGTTGTAAGTTTTTACTGCAGAATAATTTTTTCTGTAATCCTCTTACGAAAGTAAAAATGTATTTGCGCGTGAGAGCATGAGAGTTTGATTTTTAAATGTTATCAGTTTACAAAATACATGAGAAATGATTTTTTTTTATTTTTTTTTTGTAAATTAGTCTTCTATAATTTTTTTTGTTCGAAGCTATCAGAATCATGGTTATGTAAAACGCATTTAATAATATAAACATTCCATGAAAGTGGGATCATCTAAAATTGAAAATATACAAACATCTATCTCATTCACCCTATTTAGCATCTTCTAATAACTTTTTAATGTGAATATTATGGAATTTAGAACACTTTTGTAATCGAACTTTCTTACAGAAAAATAATATTTTATTTCATCGATATCATATATAAGTACTTAAATTTAAAATTTTAAATCAACATATTTTCTAAAACTGAATTCGAAAACAAAATCGGAAAAAAATTGAAACAGGAAAAACTTAAAATAATTTAAACTTGATAATAATAGAATCGAAATCTGAAAAAAAATTACAATAAGATATTTGATAGAATAACTTAAACCGGGTCGTGACTCGTGAATCAACACCCGGACCCGGACCCGGACCCGGACCCGGACCCGGACCCGGATGGTTTGCCTGTCGGCTGTCGGCACATCGTTGCAGAGATTTGCCAAGTTAAACGCTTCAAAGCAAAGTCACCTCTCTCTCTCTCTCTCTCTCGCTCGTGATTCGAAGAAGCGCACGAAGAAGAAACCAGACGACAACCATGACGAAGTTTCTGGGGTCTCTTCTTCTCGTTGCCCCATTGCTCTTCCTCTCTTCCTCTGCTTCTATCCAATGTAAGTTTCATTTCGTCGTTTAGATCTTCCGTAACTCTTTTACTCTTCTTGTTCTTCTGTCAATGTCGGTTCCCAGCCTTGGACAAGTTCTTGAATCTTAGCTTTGTCTAGATTCGTCTATGGAGGATAACTAGGTTCATTTCTCTAGATGGGTTTCTCGGTTACTTCTGATCTGGTGATTGTGGATCTTCTCTCTCCTGATTCAGCGGTTTCGGTTCCTGAATAACTGACTGAATCCCAATGGTGTGTTTTCAGTTAACATTAATTCCACAATTCATCACTTACAGTGTTACCTCTTGAAATTCATGGTTGAGATTTGTTTTGTATAGTGAAATTCAAGTAAGAAGGCTCTTAGTTTTGTTCTTGTTTCTGGGTTGTCAATTGCAGTGTTGAATTTTGAGGATAAGTTTTACTTTGATTTGGTATGAGAATCTGCCTTCTGATCTACACGCATTGTAATGCTCCAATGTCAAATCTACGATGGAGTGATTGATCACGGGTGCAGAATATTGACCCGTTATTTTGGCAGGAAATCTTACCTCTGTGTTTGGCTTTGTGCACCGACCAATAAAGTTCTAGTCTTTGATACTTTCATTACTGATTTTGCATTTTGTTGAACCGAATCAAGAGGGTAATGTTTAGAAACGAAGTAAGTCATCAAGATCCGGATTGTATATTTCTTTCTAAGGATTCAGTAAACCGAAAAGATGAGTTATGTAGAGTTTGTTCAAACAGAGAAACCCGAGAAAACAAGAACTGTTTGTATGATGCAGAGTATATTCAACTGATGTTGCATTGTCTCTTGTCCATTCAACTGATGTTGCTGCTTTTGTTGCACCGATCACCAAATTTCGTTTCTTCATTATGCAGCGAGAGTGACGGATAACCCAGCAGATGAATTGGTTGAAGTGCTTAACAAAAACCGAACAGCCAACAAGGAACCATCGCTATACAACCACCCGGGTCTAGCCTGCCTTGCATTGCAATACATAAAAGCCTACCAAGGAAATTGTGATGCGGTTGGAGGGTCCAACGCGAAAAAGCCCTCGGATTCTTTATTTGCTGAGACTTTTGCACCGAACTGCAGGGTCGATGCCTCAACCCTTTCGCCAATCACAGGTCGACTGCTCGGCTGCCAAACAAAGTACATCCAACCAGCTGAAGCTTTCTCACAAATTCTCATGAGAAACCAAAGAGGGTTAGAAATATTATACGACAAGAACCATACCGAGCTTGGAGCTGCGGTTAGTGGAAGCGATGGCGGGTCACCGTACTTCTGGTGTGTGCTCTTTAGTAATGGCAAGAAAAACAGTAGCTTTGTCTTGCAAGATGGAGTGGCTAAGGTAACGAGGCCCGGATGCTTCAGCGGTGCTAACGATGAGTGTAATGGCTCTGACGATCTCGTTCTTCGGGTTTCGTTCTTTTCGTACTTGGTTTCAGGATTGGTTTTTGCTTGGTGTTTGGTCGGAATCTGGCCTTGAATGCTATGGGTTTTTTTTTTCTTTTTGCATAAATGTTTTTTTGTGATTTGTATGAGTATGCGAAACCTCCTCTCCTTGTTTGGATGTTTGGAAGATTTGTTTGTATGAATACATTTATGAAAATAATTGTTTTGTAGATCTAAAAATGTACCAACGGAAATAGCTTTTTGATTGGTTTATGGATAATAAATCAGATTAGAATAATGTTTCGTAATTAAGATGTGAAGTGTTCTGTTATTTACGGAGATTTAGGAGTGAAGATACCGGAAAAAAAAATCAAACGGATCTGTTATTCAATTTATATTTAAACCAAAAATTCAAATATCTAGAATTCACAAATCGGATGTGAAAATTTGTTTCAATTATCATATATGGGTCGGATGCGGATATCAAAATTTCCTAATACACGAAATCTACTGATTCAACACACAACCCATGTGAATCTCCATTCTCACGTTCTGGGTTTGTTCGGATTGCTGTTGAGAACTCCCCCCAGAACAATCTCACTCACCAGAAATAAAACGTAAAGAACAAACACTCTCATACTCTCTCATACTCTCTGAATTATAATCTCTTAAGCTCTGTATTTTTCCAACCTTCTTCGTACTCCTTTTATATACACACATCCAGATCTACTCAGATTCATCCTTATCCTTTTTTTATGATTTGTCTTTATCTCTAAGGTTGTTGGTCAAATCTTATCTTCAAGCTCTTAGTAATTGTCTTTTCCACAAAATCTGCATTAAGAATCTCTTCAAATTTTTCAGCACTAACAAACTCAATTATCTGCAAAAACAACCTTAACAGATTTGATATAATTATATATTTATTTTGTTTTTTTTTTTTTAATTTTTTCAAATTCAACTTCAAGATGAACAGGAAAGATGATTGATTTGAATATCTAAACATTTGAAAAGTTAGTGCTTTTGATAATGAAAAATATATAAACATATGAATACAGAGTCATCTTGTTTGCAGTATTTGAATATTTGATGGAATTTAATTTTATAACGAGAAACTACCCATCTATATTTTCTAACTTTTCATACCAAAAATACTTATTTTTCACAAGAAAAATACCACTAAAACTATAAAAACTGTGGATATATTGGAATATCTAAAATATGACAAAAATGATAAATATTTTTTTAATATCCATATGCAACCTAATATATACAATTATTTAAGAATATTCATATCTACAATTTCGAATATCTCAAAAGATATTTTTTTTCTTTTAAAATTATCCATAAATATAAATTAATAATCAAATTTTTCCTAGATTTAATAATATTAGTAAAAAAAATAAAGCTAACACTCAGGGGGAGTGTGCTGCGTCTGGGTTTTACTGCAACTATCTCTATGTTGTAGTAGTCAGATTTCCTTGAATGAAAAGAACTGATTTTGAGTGACATCTGAGTGCGTCAATTATTTCAATTGGTATCAGAGTCCGGTCGCCGGTCGTAGGATAATTTTCTCTCAATATCGGTGCAGGGTAAGAGACGCACAATGCAGACATTCAAGGAATTTCAACCGCTAGTGAAGGTACCATTGTTGGATTCAAATAACTACGGTTAGTGGAAGGTGAAAGTCATGAATCTGATTAGAGGTCTTGATGAAGATGTGTGAAGGGTTGTAGAAGAAGGATGAGATTTTCCGAAAGTCATTGGAGATGATGGGACGAAAGTTATCAAACTCAGTTCTCAGTGGACCCTCACTGAGAAAAAGGTGTCAGCACTCAAAGCAAAAGCTCTGACTATAATCTTCAACACTGTCGATTCAGATGAGTTCACTACAAGAAAATCTTAATATAACGACGGAATTTGCGACGGAATTTTTCCGTCACAAAGAAATTACGACAGAATTCGACGAATTTGCGACGGAATGCGAAAATTTGTCGCAATTAGTCGCAAAATCCGTCGCAAATTTGCGACGGAATACGACGGAAACGTTGTCGTCGCAGAACCAAACATTATTTGCGACAGAAATTTGAAAATTGCGGATTTGCGACAGATTTGCGACAGAAATTTCTGTCGTAAATATTAATTTTATTTATTTTTTAATTTATATTATTTATTTTTGGAATTTGCGACAGATTTGCGACAGAAATTTCTGTCGCAAATAATAATTTTATTTTATTTTATTTTTCGATGAAAAATTTCAAATTTTCGCGGTTTATTT